ATAAAAGAAAGAAAAAGTTAATAAAGAAAAAAAAAAGTTTTTTTGGCCAACATCGAATCCGCTTCACCTTAAAATAAATACATACTTAACAATTATGTGAATCTTAGCGACAGACTCGCCGATCACCGTTATAGCATGTATCTCGAGTAACTTTTGTCTGTTGTCTGTAAAATGACCTATCAAAATATTCGGCAGCAATCAATACATTAGAATATCCATAGGCTTTTTTTAATGCATTAATTAAACAATTGCATTTAATAAAAAAATCAAGGAAAACAACTCAAAAAAAAAGTAATATAAGACGAACCTCTTCTCTTTTCTTCACCTTTTTTTTCCTCCGGTTTTGGTGTTATTTTTTTTTTTTGCTTGCAAATCTTATGGTGACTTTTTTTTTGCTTGTAAGTCCCTTTGTTCTCTGGTATCAAAACATTTGGGTTGATTTTCCCCATAACGATTTTGGCTCACTAAAGGCTGATGATCTCGACGCAGTAATTTTGATCGATTTGCTTGTAAGAAATTAGAGTTAGCGGTGTATGAGTTAGCGGTGTATAAGTTCGCACAAATATAAAAAGAGAAAGATCATTGTATTTTTACAATCACAAAACAAATTTTAGATCTTAAATAACAAACTCTTCATGTTGCTTAATTATTCAATATACTATAAAAAGTAAGCGCAGTAACGTGACACGCTGTCGCGTCAAGTAATGAGATCGGCGGTGGGAAAAATTAGAGGTAGACAAATTAAGGTGGGAAATTGGTGTGGGAAAGTTTAGTGGCGGAAATTTCTAGAGTAGCATAGAATGATAACAGATGTAAACATGTAAATAATAGGCGCATGTATAAATACATGCGCAATCCGATAGCATGTAGAGGAGAGAAAAAAGTTTGGAGACCACTAGCATTAACAATAAAGTAACGTTTAAGTAAAACTCTTACCTTGTGTTTAGTGTGCCAAAGTAGACTTGTAACTTGGGCTACGTGACTACAAGAGAGAACCGAGGCTTGTCTAAGGGAATTGGCATTGGAAGGGTTCTAGGCTAGTCGGTAGAGAAGTTAAAGTGAGAAGAACAGCCAAATCGGAAACACGCCTCAGGAGTTAGAAACTTACCTTATTGTGAACCAAACGAGACTATAAGCGACGTGGATTAGCAACCAACGCACCGGAGAGCCCACGACAATACTTATAATTTCATTGATGCAACAATAGAAAGTGATTTCTAGCAAAAAAATAAATATTTTGAATAAAATTTAATTGAAAGTTAGAAAAGTATTTATAACCAAATATATTTAAATTGTCTTTTTAAAGCTAAAGGTTAATCGTCATAAGAATTACAAAATAAAAATGTTTTATATCTAACAAAAAAATTGACTAAGCAATAATTCAAGATGCTCTAAAGTCATCGTTGGTGGAATTCAATCAATCAAATACATAAAATTTTTTGTTTATATTCCAATATTTTGTTCCATCCAACTTTTTAAACAAAGTAAGGCCCGAGCAGTTTCAGGATGAAGGCAGCTACGAACTTTTGTAATTGTTTCTGCAGCTACAGAAAATGCTTCTTCGCAAGGAACACTTGTTCCTTGAATGGCCAAATAATCATGTGCCATTCTTGATAAAGTCAAAAATCTATGTTCATTTTGTTCCCACCAACTAAGAGAATCTATTTTACAAGTAGGTAAGGATAAATACAAATCTAATTCTTCTTCTATTGGTAATTCTATTTCTTGTTCGTCTAAAAAAAATGATTCAAAATATGATCTTTTACTTTTAGGTATAGTTAATTTAGTATTAGTTATCGGATTTAATGATCTATAACGAATTATTTCTTTACGTAAACTAGTAATAGCTGCAATTTTTTTTTCCTCCGATATAAATGTTTTAAGTTTTGATGATGAATCAAGAATTGTTGCTATTGTAACTGTTTTATCAAAAAGTAACCAATATTCATTTAACTTAAACCGAATAGAATCTGCAAACATACAATCTTCATCTAAATGTGTTCCTTCATTAATAAATTTTTCAAAGTGTCGAATAAGTCCACCAATAACCAAACGAATATCTGAAATAGTTGGATATGAGCTACTTGAAAGATACTCAGTTGCTTCAAATACTGGAAAAAGAAGATCAATTATAATATTGATTCTTTTCCATTCATTATCGTTAAGATATAAATCATTAATTTTGTTTTTATGTGCAGTTACAAGAAGATTAATTTCAGAACGCATAAGTTTAAATCGGTTAAGCATTTCATAGGTACTATTCCAACGAGTAATTATATCGATTTTTGGTATATGATATGTTTTTCTATTAAATATAAATTTAAAATTATTAATATAATTAAACTATAATTAGATAATAAA